TTGTTGTTGTGTTGTTGTTGTTGTTGTCGTTGTCGTTGTCGTTGTCGTTGTCGTTGTCGTTGTCGTTGTCGTTGTCGTTGTCGTTGTCGTTGTTGTTGTTGTTGTTGTTGTTGTTGTTGTTATTGTTGTTGTTTGTTGTTGCTGTTGTTGTTGCTGTTGTTGTTGTTGTAGTTGTAGTTTCTATAAATAGTTGTTGTTGTAGTTCTACTTGTAGTTGTAGTTGTAGTTGTAGTAGTAGTAGTAGTAGTTGTTGTTGTTGTTGTTGTTGTTGTTTCTTGTTGTTGCTCTTGTTCCTGTTGTTTCTGCAGTAGCAGTAGTAGTAGTAGTGGTAGTAGTAGTAGTAGTAGTAGTAGTATCAGTAGTAGTTGAAGAGCAACACCCTCACGCCCTTCAGCTGGAGCAAACATGGTTATATGACGACGCCTTCTCAGTATCGTTTCCACAGCTTTATCGGATGATGCCCGAAGGGTTCCACAGGGCCATGGGGCAAGCGCACACCCTCGAACTTTTGTCGGCCACAAGCAACGAAGATACGTAGGGCTTCTGTGCACACCTACGTAAGAGCCATATGCTCAGCCTACAACTTCAACCTTCATCGAAGCATAGGGCCTGTTGCTGGCTTCTGTGAGATGGCTTGAGCCATCCGCTTCAAGACACCTGACGTGTGTGAGCTCCACTCGCACCTGTACAAAGGGCAGGGGCTTCAGGTTCAGCACCCCTCCTTGATGGCCTCGTAAGGGGCCCATCATTCCACCGCACGCCTGAAGACCTTGTCGAGCCTCAAGCCCGAATATTATCGGGATGATTTCTCCAGTCGTTCAGGCAGTATTGGCACATTGGTTTCCGCAAAGCCCTCGAGGCGTTTCGAAGTCCATGACAGTCAGGCCTCAAGTGAATACGGTCTCCACTGGGGCTTACGTACATGTCTGACTCCCAGGGCTGCACGATGTAGCGAATCTTAGAGTCAACTGCTGACTCATGAACCGCAGCCCTCTGACTCGGAGAAGACTCGACAGTCGGGTCTGTTTGCACTCCCCGGCTCCAACGCTCTGGTTGAAACCTTTCTGCACTCTGCTCCGAAGGCCTCGAAGACGATGTAGTCGTAGTAGATCTCCCTCGTGAAGACTCGACTCCTGCATCAGCCTTCAACATTCCTGCATTCACTGTCTGAAACTTGTTGATCAGTACAGAGAGCCTTGCTTCCTGTGTCACCGAACGTGCTTCATTCCCTAAGAGTGCGAGGAGCTCCTTAGCCTCAGACTTTGTAAGACCCTGCCTCGTTGACGACGATAGCATCTTCATCTTCACCACCCTTCTCACGCCACCAGCAGCACGCTTTGACCATTCCCACACCAGGATAGTTGTAACCATCACAATCATCACTGCAATCCAGAGCTCGTAGTCAGAGTCAACTCCAGTGTACATCTGCAGGTTGTTGTCTCCCAAAACTCCAGCCGTCAAACCCAACCCCACTAGAACCTGGATACACCTACTCAGGGTCCCTCCATTCATGGGTGAGGCTGTGGATGCTGTGGTGATTGATGGTGATGTTGTCGCTGTGGTGGCTTGGGCCGCTGTTGCTGCTTCTGCATGCACTGCTGCTGCCAGGGCTTCGATTTCCCCATTCCCATCGACGGCAATCTTCTTGAAGTGGTTGGTCACGGACCCCTTCACGAAACCCCAACTTGACAGAAGCTTCCAGGCCCTTTCGGAAGAGAGCTGTTTCGTCAACCCGTCGGCCAACTGATCCTCTCCTGGCTGGTGTCTCAGCTGGTACTCACCTGACTCAACCAACTCCACCAGCCAATGCTCACGTAGCCGGAGGTGACGTGTCCTCCAGCTCCCGCCAGAATTTGCCACAGCAATTGCTGCGGCGGCGTCGACTCTCAGATCGCACACATCCGGCACAATACCCATGTCCAGCAACGTAGTCCTGATCGATCTCATCAGCTGGGTTCCTTCGCTCAACGCTATGAGCTCTGCTTCAGCGCTGCTCAAAGCTGTCAGCGACTGGTTCGCCGCCTTCCAGCATACTGGCAACCCCCTCCACAGAATTAAGGCCCCAGAGATCGACTTTGCCCCGGCTGGAGAGTGTGACGCATCACTGTACATCACCAAATCTCGAGGTTGTCCACGATCGATGACAAAGCCAGCGTCCCTCGTGGTGTTGTAGTAGGACAAGATCTTCTTCGCGATCTCGATTGAACGCTCCGGCCATCGCGTCGTGAGTCTCGACATCATCATCGCGGCGTAGGCAGCATCCGGTCGGGACCTCTGGGTGGTCCAGAGGATCTCGCCACACCTTTGTTGAGCCTCTTTGATTAGGGCTGGAGAACAATCAGCATTCTTCGGGATCTCGTCTGTTGCCCACTGCCACTCCTTCACGAAAGGAACCTTGCTGTAGGTTGTCACCTGACGCTTCCTCAAGAGCTCGTCCACGTAGCCGCGCTGGGTGATCTTCATACGTCCTTCATCATTCAACGAGAGCTCCAATCCAAGGAATCGGACAACGGCCTCCTTCGAAACCACCTCTCTGCCACTTGTTTCCCATGTGGACTCCAGCCAGTCGTAGAACCCGTGAACGTACTCGGGAGGTCCCACCGCCAACGTATCGTCGACGTAGAAGAGGACATATCCCCTTATCCGCTCTGTTCCATCCTTCGTCACCTCCACCAGCTTGTGCAGGTTCGCATCCGTGACACATGCTACCATCTTCATGGTACCTCCACCGGGTGACTTCCATCTCGCCGCTCGTGCTGTAGCATTGCGATGCTCTGACCACCAGTTAGGGCTTCGTTGAAACCCATATATGGCAGCAGTCGCCAGCCAGAGTTCTCCTTGCTCCGCCAAGCCTGCCCGAATCATTGCCCTCGGTGCTTCCATTGCATACCTTCGGCCATCTGGAAGATCCGGGATCGGAGCCCTTAGGAAAGCTGTTTTTATATCATCTGTCGCGGCAATCCAGCCCTCATTTGAATTCACTTCACCCAAACAAAGTCTTACCAGGTCAATGGTGGCCCCAGCTGAGTAGATGTCCCCCAATTCCTCTGCTGATTCACCCGAGAAGTTTCCACATGCCACTCCCCTGACCTTACGACGAAAGGTCCCCGGGGTTGCCCCTGGCTTCACAGTGAACACCAGCTTGCTAGGGACAATGACCAGTCGAGGATCTCGTCTCAAAGCTGCGGCCTCAGCCCCCTTGTAGCGCTTGATTGCCGGCATCTTTTCCAAAGCTGTAAGTTCTGCTTGCATTGCCGGCACCCACTTGTCCACCACTGGTAGTACCTCTCGGGGATCGACAGTGTGGGTGACCTTCAGAGGATTCTCATCCGTCACCTTTTCCAACGTAACAACTCCTCAATGTTCGTGGTGTACAGGGTCTCTGGAGTTGCCTTCATCATACGTGCTGTATCACCATCATCACAAGCATCTGTATCAACCTCCACAAACCTTAGCAAATCCTGTGACTCATCAACCGAACACCTCGGTAGCCAAGCTCCTTCGGGAATTGGTGACTCACCGACCTGCGGTGGTCGTGGGCCGAGGGCAGGGGGCGGTCGTGGCACTTGCCGCCTCAAAGCCTTTGGTGGTCGAAGCGGTGCTCCTGACGAGGGTGTTCCAACGCGATGAGTGTCGAGACGTCGCGGCGGCGTGGGGAGCTGTAAAGCTTGCAGTGGCGGAAGTTCCGCGCCTAGGCCGTGCTAGGCCTGGGTGGACAGTCCTCTGGGAGGCCTGCCCCGAGCTGAAGATGGCTTCTCCGCTGGAACCCTGGCCCGTGGAAGCTGTGTTGCTCAAAGGCACTCCGAGCGTAGAAGGCTGGCGAGTGCAGGGAGGAGTTACGGTGTACGTTCTGGATGGCAAGTTGCCTTTGGAACTGTGCCACCTCAGCTCGCCGGAGTGGCCTTTTGAGCTGACGCGGCTTTGGCGTCGGCAACCGGGAGACCAATTCTGGATTCAGCATTGGGTCACTTTTGAGCGGACCTTAAGGGAACTCGCCCAGTTTGCTCGGGACCGGGGTGGTCTTGAAGACGCGGATGGGACTGCAAAGAGCAGCTGGAGCGGTTCTTTGCTTTCACAGGCCACTTTGCGAGAGGATTGCTAGTGGCTTGGAGCGCCTGCCAGAAAGGTTCGCGAATGGGTTCGAAGAGAACCATGAAGGTAGCTGGGTCTGGAAGGGCCTCATAATATGTGGAAAGCAGAGCCGTCCCCGATAGACTCGCGAGGGACTGGAGGCCGAGCTCGAAACTGTTGCGGGTACCTGAGAGGTGGCTCGAAGAGGCAGCTCGCGAGCGGGAAAGGGCTCGCGGAGAGCTGCTGGAGTCTTCGGAGTTTCAGGTTGGGGTAGACCTCCGCCTGACCTGGGCAGCAGAACAAAAGAAAGACCAGGCCTTGGTCTGCCGGATGCCGAGAAAAGGACCGGGAGATAGTCGAGCGATTTCAGATCGGAACCGATGGTGTTTTGGAGCGCCTGGTGAAGATTGATGAGTGGGAAGTCGCAAGATGGGTCCCCGTGGTGCCTGCCGGCTGGGCGGCAGGGGAAATGACCTGGAGAGAGTTCTGCTTCCGGCAAGCTCACGTGGGACTGATGGGCGGTCACCGGAACTGCCGGGACACCCAGAGAATCCTCAAGAGGATATGCTGGTGGCAGGACATGATGAAAGATATCGAGACAATGACGAACGCGTGCTTGACTTGCGCGAAAGGGCGGAAGCGCCCGACAAAGCAGGAGACCGTGAGCGTGAAGCCCACCAGCCTGGAATGCTGGGAGGAAGTCATGATGGACTTCGAAGGCCCTATGCTACCGGCGGATAGTGCCGGCAATTGCTATGTCCTCTCTTATGTGGACACGGTATCTCACAACGTCTTGTTCGAACCCTGTACGGACCTGACGAGGCAAGAGGTGAGAAGGGGCTTCTCGAAGTTGATGTTCCGATCGCGAACTGTCCCCAGGCTGCTGAGGACAGACAGGGGGCAAGAGTTTCGAAGCGCAGTCTTTCAAGAGTACTGCGCGGTGGTCGGGATACAGCAGAAGTTTGCGGCTCCGCTTCGTCCTGTGGAGATGGGAGCGTGTGAAAGACTCCACCAGGAGTCCCAGAAACTGCTGGGAGTGCTCCTTCACGACCTTCACGACGTGTGTGGGGTGTACCCCCACGAGTGGAGTGAGCTCCTCCCGGTCGTGGAGTTCCTTTTGGCGACCACTCCCACGCAAGCAGGCATCGCGCCTCGAGACCTGGAAAGGGCATGGTCAATGGCAATTCCTTTAGAGCGAGATCTCGAGCCTTTCACGGTTCTGGAATGGGAGCCCATTTCGGAATATGCCGCGAGGCTCTTTCGAAGGTATCGAGAGCTCAGGGCGAAAGTCTTGGACCATAGGGCGGAAGAATCTGCTAAGAGGGCGTCGCTTGTGAATCGCTTTCGGGTGTCCAAGCAGCTCTGTGCGGGTGACGTGGTGGTTCTTCGTGACCCCCGCACCGCCAGAGCTGGGGGGCGGACTCCGTGGCGAAAGCAGTTGTCAGGCCCCTATGTGGTAATAAAAATTTCGCCTTCGGGTAACAAGCTCGAGCTCAAAGACGAAGCCACCGGAAAGGTTCAGGAGGCGCATGCGGGTCCTCCTGCCGCCAGGGTACAAAAGTTGGGAGTCGGCGAGCTCAGGCTCTAAGCCAGAGTCTCGGCCGATGAAGTTCAGAGAGCAAGAGGATCATCACAGGCCTCGCTCTCTGGGTCAGATGATCGAAGAAAAGGACGACCTGACGAAAGTGCCTAAGAGGGCGGCGGGGAAACCGGGTGATGGGATGCTGTCGGAGCTGAAAGTCTTCCAGCACGTTGCCTATAAGGTTGCTCCGGACCTGAAAGGTAAAGGCGCCAAGCAATGCTGTGTTGGTCGAGTTTTGACCATCCAGGTCGCAGAGAGGGAAGTTACTGTGCACAAGTATGCGGCTTTGCTCTCGGATGATCTGCGAGTAAAGTGGAAGCCTCTGTTCGTCAACGCCGAAGGGCTGGAGGCTCTGTGCCTGCGAGTAGTACCAGAGGAGTGTCCTCGCAAGTGAAGCTGAAAAGGAGGCGAGGGACCTCACGGACCCCAAAGGAGTGGTCACGGAGTTTGAGATTCCTGGCAAAGCTTTGACGACGGCGGAAATAGAAAAGCTGTCTAAAGAAGCGGTAACCAAATGGGACCGACTTTCGAAGGCCAAGTCCTGGGATGAAGTGAAGGCTCCGCTCGACGTCTACCGGTTCAGCGGGGTTCAGCTCGCTGAAGATCCCCGCCGGACGCCTGAGTACCGGGCGAAGGTGTTGGAAAGGCTGCGACCTCGGCCACTTGAAGCGGTCAGAGGCCAGGCGGGTGCCCACCAGAAGGTGCGAAAACGCAGAATTGTCGTTGATTACAGAAGAGTTAACTCACGAACAGTGAGAGCTCAATACTTTTCCCGGAAGAGTTGGGAAGTAATCGCGGAGTCTGCGGGGAGCCTGTATCTCTCGATGCTGGACGCTGTAACGGGGTTCAACCAGCTACAGAATAGTGACCGGGCACGGCGCGTTCTTGCGGTGATCACCCGATCGGGTCAGTTCTTGCCAACTTGTTTGACGTTTGGACCGGTCAATGGTCCAGAGGCCTTCGCGTACGTCATGGACCGCGTGTACTCGCGCGGGTCCAACAGGCGCAGTGTAGAGCGGCGTCGGAGTGGCTGGCTTACGTTGACGATCATACGATCCGAAGCGGACGTTTGATCAACGGAGTAGCCTACCGGGACTCGGAAGTAGCCGACCGAGTCCGGACAGCTCTGCAAGACAAAGCACCTCCTGAGACGTGCCAGGAAGTAGCCGAGGCTCTCGAAGCAGCTGGGTTCAGCGCTCGAGGGCTCGGCGCGGCCGAAAAAAGTTCGCTGTGGAAACGATACTGAGAAGGCGTCGTCATATAACCGTGTCTGCTCCAGCTGAAGGGCGTGAGGGTGTTGCTCTTCAGGTGATGAGCTACTGCTGTGCAAGCCGAGCTCCCTAAAGGAGCTGGAGCGTCAGATGGTTATGGGTCGATGGGAGGGCAAACCAATGGTGTGGTCCCTGCAGCTTCGTCGACTTCAACGAGCCTTCAGGTGTCTGGAGAGGCGACTGTAAGACCTTCGATGACTGAAGGCGGCCTGGCGGTGCAGGAGCAGCAGAATGTAGCTGTTGAGCCTCATGCTGTCGCTGAGTCCTCAGTGGATAGGCCTGATCAGGTGATGGTTCCAAGTCAGGCTTCAGTTGGGGGCCAAGCGTCAGTTGCTACAGCTATGGCTTTGGAAGATGGGAGTGTGCATGCTATGAGGGCGGATATGGAAGTTCAGCAAGGTTCATCGTCTCTGACGGTTGTGGATTTCTCGTCTGAATGACTTTCTGGCCAATCAAGGACAGTCGGTTTTGGGTTCGGTTGGGTTTAACTCTACGCCTACTCAGGGGCCCCGACATTCAGGACACCCGCACCAAGCAACAACACCAACCACTACACCTGCACGCAGTCAGCAGACGCAAGCAGCATGGGCAAGAGGCACTCCTCAAGGCTCTCCGATCCAGTTTTCCTCGCCTGAAGAACTTCCTCAAGGACGTGGAGGATGGGGCCAACACATGGAGTTTCAGGGTCAGGAGGCACCACTGTTCTCACGAGATGCATGGGAGCAGATGATGAGGTTTTCCCAGAGGGCACCGTGGCTTTACGGCCGAGGAGGGCGTTCGCAGGGGGACTCGACAACGGGATCTTCAGAGGTTCACGCAGAAGTTCAACGTCAAATGGATAGCTTCATGAGGGCTCAGTCTTACCAGCTCGAAGAGATGAAGGAAGAGATTCAGTTTCTTCGGGCGGAGAGGGCAAGGTTGGTGGCTGACCAGGCATCGCGTGGGTTTGGAGTCCAGCGCGAAGGCAATGATGGTCAGTGGCGTGATGGTGATCCTCGTGGTGGTCATCTTCAGCATGAAGGCAATGATGGCCAGCGGCGTGATGGTGATCCTCGTGGTGGTCATCTTCAGCATGAGGGCAGATCGTCTTCTGCATCCTGGTGATCCTCAAGGTGGTCAGCTTCAGCGTGAAGGCAATGATGGTCATCGGCGTCATGGTGATCTTCGGGAAGTGTCTGGTCAGCCAATGGAGGTGTCGCAGTTTCGAGGACCTGATCAACGAAGTGTTGTACAACGCGGGCAAATTCTGCTCGAGCCTTCAGATGGACGACATGTAAGGCAGCGGGTCGACAATGGCCCAGAGATGCCATCTCCAGCAGGACCTCCGACAGTGTATGGACCTGACATCAGCGCTACGAGATGCGAATCGGGCCCCTCAGTGATTCCTCAGGTTACCACTGGGAGGCAGTCTACGGCTACAACAGCGGCGAAAGACTTCTGGAAACGTTGGCAGAGGGCATGCAACAGTTACAGAAGGTGCAGCTGGACCAGTTCGAGAGGGCGGAGAAGCGAAAAACCGAAGAACCTCCTGAGCAGTGCAAGCCAGGGACTACGTCGTTGCCTCCTCTACCGCCGCCCAGTGGAAACGAGAGCGCAGTAGCACTTCAAGACTGGATCGAGGTCATCGATGGTCCTCTACGGGATATTTCAGACAGCAGTTCTTGGTGGTGGGATGCAGTAAAGGAAAGGGCTCAGAAGGGTTACCAATTGTGGGTGGCTTCGGGGCCTTACGAAAGATTATCCTTGAAACCACCAACTGCTGATGACCTCGAACAAGGTCGTTTCTCGAGGTTGAGCGCAAGGACGGCGGGGATGATGCTGCAGGCCATGACGGAAGGAGTTCGCGCAGAGATGGTTGCTAGGGCAATCACTCGCTCACCGATGGCTCTGTTGTTCAGACTATACACAATGTACCAGCCGGGGGGTGAAAGTGAGAAGGCTTACATCTTGCAGTACCTCGTCAACCCTCCAAGGGCATCCTCGGCAACCGACTTGGTCAGCGTGCTTCGACAATGGGAGAGACTTCTTTTGAGGGCAGACAATCTACACATCGCGAAACCAGACCCCTCTTTACTGGTTCGTGGGCTGAATGGTTTGGTGTCAGATCTGTGGGCCAAGGACAAATATGTGATGTTTCGCACACAGCTTGTGAAAAGCAGGCTAGGAGTGGATGTGAGTCCTACGTGGGAGTCGGCTCTACAGTTGCATCAGCACTTGAGGGCGGAGTCAGAGAACCTCGTGAACGGTCTTCCCTCCACGGTGAGGCCTTCTACGACTACGACCGAGTCGCAGCGTGAGACAAGGCTGAAGCCGTTTCAGCCGAGTCCATCAACTCCCGTGAAACCGCCGACGACGACCTCAGCTACCACCTCTACTCCAAGCGGAACAACTGGGGGCGGCACAGAGAAGAAGTGCAAGTGGTTTACCGAGCCCGGAGGATGCAGACGAGGAGCAAGTTGCAAGTTTGTGCATTCCTTTGAGGGGGTCTCCAAGAAGAACCGATGCTACACCTGCGGTGCGGAAGGACATCTTTCGAGCGCGTGTCCAACAAAGGGAGATGGAGGAGATCCGAAGGCGGAGGGCACAAGGCCGAGGCCAAAGGGCAAGGCTAAGAGCACTCCTGGCTCTCCATCAAGAGAGGACCCGGCGAAGAGTGGTGCAGCAGCGAGATCGCTGATCGCGGAACCGGAGCCACAGCCAACTCCACCAACGTCACCTACTACAGTGGGCGATGTTCAGACGACAGTGGGAACCGGGGAAATGAAGGAGGCTTTGAGGGATGCTGCGCAAGCCCTTAGGTCGCTGATGAGTTCGGGATCTACAACAACGGCTTCCTCAGCGTCTTCCTTGGAAGGGCTCCAGCGACAACTTGATGAGCTGAGATTGAGGGCAATGAAGGTGGAAATCGATGGCACAGAGTTGAAGAAGTACCAGAGGACTCCGCTGGATGACAGGGTCAGTGGCGATGTTTCCTCGGTACCGACGCTGATTGGTTCTGGCGCCACTCACATCCTTCGTCAACCTCGGGATGATCAGGAGTTGGCCCTCAGCTACGAGAGTGTCAGTTACCCTTGCTAATGATCTGATGAAAGGCGAGAACTACTGCAGACTGAGTCGGGGGCAATCTTGTCATACCATACATCGGGGAGGTATTTAGCCGATTCTGCCAATGGCGGAGCTTGTGAGGGCCGGATGCGAAATCAGTTGGAGGAGGGGTGTGTTCAAGGTTACGCATCCAGTTTGGGGTGAGCTCAAGACATCGCTGCGTGGAGGGTGCCCAGAGTTGGCACAAGAGCAGGCGGCGAAACTTGTGGACCAGATTGAGGACAAGAAGCTCCGTGAATTTCAAGATGGGGTTTCTATGTTGAAGTCAAAGTTGGACTACTTGGTTCGCGAGGAGAAGCTTCCCTGGACGACGTACGCGATGAGATTCTTGGAAGAGGGACTGGCAAAGGATCTGTGGAAGGCTGTGCGAGGATCGTTCATGAAGGATCTCCCGGAAGCAGTTCTAGACTCTCTTTGCACTGGGGTTCGGGTGAATCAGGGCTGGGAACATCTGAAGTCATTGCCGTTGCCAAGACGGGTTCGAAAGAGAATGATGGACTCAGATAGGTGGATACTACATCTACCGAAGCACCGTGAAGAACCTCCTCTGAAGCCCGAAGACTATGGCGAAAACACAGTGATAGTGACAGTGCCGCCGCACTTGCTTTCTCAGGCTTATGACGCGCTCCTGTGGGGGGCGGCTACGGGAAGGATCGCTGCAGTGGTTGGTGAAACTCCTGGATGCTCAATGGCTAAGGATACCCAGACTATCCGGATGGCAAGAACAATGGTGCTTTACGTGATTGGGAGACTAGCGAGACCAAGGGGAAGAACTGGGTTTTTCTGGTTGATGCGAAAGGATGATTGTGAGGAGGAAGTTGCGAAATTGATGGTGCAGTTTCAACAGGCGGCCTCCATGTGCGAGCTCAATGTCAATGCTGATGGCTCTCCAACCTCTTCGAGAATGCGGTGGGTTGCAACAACGAACTATGATTTCGAAGACCTCCGAGGGGAACTCCAATCCGAGGAGGGGAAGGGCGACTCAGTGAACAAGGGCTGGCCTATGGAATGGAGACGAAGATTGGCAAGGGCAATCTCCGATGGGAACTTCCGTGGCTCTCAGAAGCGAGATGATGGTACCTTGAAGGCTATGACACATGAGCAATGGATGAGTCATGTTCAAGCAGGCCATTACCCTTCACGTCGAGATTGTCTTCAGTGTGTTTCTCATGGGGCTACAGGACACCGTCATGCTCGGATAGAACATCCATCTCTATTCTGTCTTAATGTGGATATCACAGGTCCTTTCCGAACAGCTGGTGAAGATCCAGGAGCTCGAGGAGATCGTTCCAAGGCGGCTAAGATGAAGTACCTTCTAGTTGCAAAGTTCACCTTGCCGAAGTCCTATGTCACAGGCGAGTTTGAACCCACAGCTCAAGACCCAAGGGAAGAAGATCTTGGTATGAAGGATTTGTTCGATGAAGATGGACATGTGGTTGGTTCGAAGGGGGTGTCTGACGAGGTTGGAAGGAATGACTGGTTGAGCGACGAGGAAGACTACGTGCCTTCAATGGAAGAGGAGGACGGCGAGGAAGAGGAGAAGGACACCGGTGCGGGCGTGGGGCCAATTCCAATGGACGTGAAGGCCCCGGAGTCTACGTATCTTCTCTTTGCGGAGCCGCTTCTCAACGATAAGGGCCCCACCGTCGCCAGCGCAATTCAGTCTATTGTTCTGTACCTCCAAAGTCTTAACATCCCTGTGCTGCGATTTCACAGTGATCGTGCAGCCCAGTTGATGGCCAGATCGCTGGTGCAATGGCTACATGGACAGGCGATTCGTACAACGACCAGCACTCCTGGTGTTCCTCAAGAGAATGGTTCTGCTGAGTGTGCCGTGAAGGAAGTCAAGCTCACCACGAGAAAGATTCTTTCCTCGTCCACTCTAGAGAAGTCCTTTTGGCCGGTGGCTGCGAAGGCCGCTGCATCCCTCCAACGGGCTCGTGTATTACGTCAGGTACCTCGGATGGTGGTGGCGTTTGGCGCAAAGGTCCTGGTGAAGAAGAGGAGGTATGCGGCTTCAGGAGCTTTGATCCGATTGGAGTTTGATGAACGATGGGCCGAAGGAGTTTATTTAGGTCTTTCTGATCAACTTGCGGACGGACATTTGGTCTACGTCGACGGAATCTTCACCCACTAAGAATGTGAGGGACAAGGCGAAGTTGGTGGACGCAGGAGCAGGAGGACGGGATGATCAAGGGAAAGGACAGGGTGATGAGCTCGAACCACGAGCTAAGAAAAGGATCGTGGGAAAGTCGGCGCCACGAGTTGCGGTGATGGAGCGCAGTTCGGAGTTTGGGATATACGAAGACGATCTCCCCAGCGACCAAGAGGAACTCCACGAGGACGATGACCTGGTAGATGAGACACAGGAAGTGATGAGTGGGGATTGTCCAGTTCCTCGAGTGGCTGTTTTGGGTTCCAACAGAGATGAAGCACAAGATGGTCAAGGGGACTCGATGGACCCGGAGGACTATGCCAGGGAAATCATCTACAACGAGGACGATGTGGATGAAAGGGTAATCGAGCGGCTATTTGAGCTACTTCCAAATCAAAGACTACCTCGGCAGACAGAGGACTGTGGCGTAAGTGGTTTGCCTCCTAAGGCGTGGAAATCGGGAGTTTATCGTCATGGTGGTGTGCTGGGCGTGAGGAAGTCTTCCAGGGAGTTTCCGTATTCTACAAGATTGGTGAACCAGTTCATTCGGGAAGTTTTGGGCGATTCGACTACATGGTCTACCTTTTCATTTCATCGGAATCGTCTTTGGACACAAGCTGAAGCTGGCGAAATTGGGGAGGACAATGAGGCAGTCATCGTGGATGGGAAACGTGGGCGTGTGAGGCCATTACAATCCGAGGAGGGGACGAAGGAAGTGGTTTCGTTCAATCCAAGGCAGTGGCACGCAACGATGCCGTGGACTGGCGATAGACTGGTGGTGGCTGTGTACAAGGTCCGTGGTCTCAATCAGATTAAGACGGAGGATGAAGACCTGGCGCTGGATTTGGGTTTCCCTCTGCCTACGAATGGATCAGAAAGTCCGAGGATGTGCAAGCTCATCGGTCAAGAAGGTGAACAGCCTGGTCCCGAGCCACAAGAAGAAGCCGAGGTGGAGTTGGAGCCAGTGGAGGAATTTATGTACATCAGGATGTCCGAGGACGAGTGGCATACAACGATCGCACAGCATGGACCGGATCGCTACGTCGTGGAAATGGCAATGAGATGGCGAAGGATTGAACCTGAAGAAGGGAATTTGAACTCAGTGATTCCGGCTGCCATAGCTGCAGACGTGGATCGAGATTGGATGGCCGCCCCAAGGATTTTCCTGATGTCAGAAGATGGGGAGGAGCTTCATGTTGGACGAATGCTGGGAACGAGGACTACCAGAATCCCGGATCATGATCCAGAAGGGCTCAACTCTAGTTTCCTCAAGGCTTGCAAAATTTACAACCTCGTGACAAATGAGGAGGAGATGATCGTGTTTTGGATTCGAAGAAGGATTGTGGTTCATCGCGCACTTCCCGAAGATCAAGGTCATGCTTGGAGGGGCTCTGAAGATCCAAGGCCACCGGATGTCGACCAAAGGGGACGGGCACCTCGTCTGGCAACAGGCCAGCCAGCATGGCAAAACCTAGAAAGCTAAAGGGAGATGTAACTGCAAAGCTTGAGCTCTCAAAATGCGGACGAACAAATATATTATTCAACAGACAAACTCGACACATGCA